GCCCTCTTCCGTGACAAGATGTCCTAAATATTCAATTTCTTTTTGCAAAAATAGGCATTTTTCTTTCTTTAGTTTTATATTATACTTCGCCAAGCGAGCAAATATAGTCTTCAACAACGCCAGATGTTCTTCAATTGATGCTGTGGCTATAAGGACATCATCAATATAACAAATTACGCCTCCTATACCTGACAAAACCCTATCCATTACAGATTGAAAATAACTGGGCGCATTTGCCAATCCAAATGGCATTCTCTTAAACCTGAAAAGCCCTTTATGAGTATTTATCGTTAGTAACGGTCGGGTGCCTGGGTCCACCTCTAATTGCAGATAAGCGTTCCTCAAGTCCAATTTAGAAAAGTATTTTCCCTTGGCCAATGTGGAGAATAAATCTTGCTGTGTGGGAAGGGGATAGGCCGCAGTGTCCAAATATTTATTTAGAGTTACCTTGAAGTCGCAGCAAATTCTGATCTCTTTATTTTTCTTCGGCACTACAACCACTGGAGTGGCCCATTTACTGCTCGCCACCTCACATAGATAACCCTTAGCCACCATTTTGTCTAATGCTTCAGTAACTGCTGGCCTAATGGCGAAAGGCACCGGACGAGCCTTATGGAAAATTGGATTCACATCACACATGTTTACTGAAAATGTGAAACCTTTTATTGGTTCAGTTGTCTCCACAAATAGGGCTTGATTTTCCTTCAAAATTTCCTCAATGGTAATTTCCACAGGCATATGTTTTACCGCGAAACAGCCCAATTTCAATCTATTTATCCATTCTCTTCCCATCAAAGCCCTCTTTTCTCCTTTCACCACCAACGCTCTAAGTTTGTAAGTAATATCTTGACACTCCACTTTGACATTGATTTTACCCAGAATGGGTACCACGGTACCATCATAAGTTCTTACAATAATACTCGCTTTTTCCAATTTCAAGTGTTGAAGACTATTTTTAAAATCCTTTTCTGATATCAGTGTTAGACCACTACCCGTATCCATTTCAAATTTAATAAAGTTTCCTTCTACTTTTAACTCCATCAGAAAGGGAGGGTCACTTGAGGCAAAATTAATTTTATACTCAGGTATCGTCACGCTTATAATTTTCTGGACATACTCTTCCTCCTCTTCTTGGTCTCCTATCTGATGTATATTTCCCGGCTGATTCTGATGTTGCCTTAGATTTCTTCTACTGCTCCAACATATTGAGGCAATGTGTCCTTTTTTATTACACTTAAAGCATATCGCCTCCTTAAATCTACATAGTTCTTTATGCTGTTTACCACAATGTTTACATTTGCCATTCTGGAAATTTGATTCAACCTTGCGTTCCATCCTCAACTTATCTACACAATCTTCACCCTGCTCCAAGTGAAATAATTTTGTATTTTTCTCGGCCGCTTCCATAGATAATGCTATCTCAATTACTTTAGCTAAAGAAATGTCGCCCTCCGACAAAATTCTATTTTGTATTTTGGCATTATATAATCCACAAACCATTTTATCACGTAAAGAATCCTCCAGAAAATTTCCAAAGTTGCATGAGGAAGCCAAACGCTTAATTTCCACCAAGTAATCCGAGATGCTTTCTTCCTTTAATTGCATTCTTTTAAAAAAAATGAACCTCTCTACTACAATTGAGCGCTTTGGAGAGAAGTGCCTTTTCAAGATATCTATTAGGTTATCAAAAGTTTTATCTTTAGGTAGAATATATATATATACATATATACATATTTTAAAAAAGATGCATATATTGGATTTATAATGAATTTATTGTTCCAATATTTCGAGGGGCAACTCGCCTCTCTTTATCGAGGATGTTTGTGTTTTCACTAAAGCATGTGCGCACGTGTACACCACTCTCGTTCTACAAGGCCAATGAAAGAATTGTATCTTTGACTTAAACATTACATTCAGTATATATATACAGCTAATAATTATATACATTATTACAGATAAATACCATTATTATTATTTTGTCTACACATTGTGCTTGAAATAGAGATTTATATATAACAGTGTAACCGTAAATAATTGTGTGCATACATATTAATTCTAAATTAATGATGAAATTTTAAGGGTAATAAATGAGTAAATTAAAAGTATATACATAGTTATTTACAATCAATTAGGATATGAATTCTTTATAAATTTCTGGAAAATCAAATTTTCTGTTTATACTGTGTTTGTCTTCGGCAGAAGCCCAACTTTCTAAAAACAGTCTACAATGCTTTTCTGTAATATTTTTGTATATAATTGATGCTTGTTTGAAATCAGTGCCGAAGACAAACACAGTATAAACAGAAAAATTGATTTTCCAGAAATTTATAAAGAATTCATATCCTAATTGATTGTAAATAACTATGTATATACTTTTAATTTACTCATTTATTACCCTTAAAATTTCATCATTAATTTAGAATTAATATGTATGCACACAATTATTTACGGTTACACTGTTATATATAAATCTCTATTTCAAGCACAATGTGTAGACAAAATAATAATAATGGTATTTATCTGTAATAATGTATATAATTATTAGCTGTATATATATACTGAATGTAATGTTTAAGTCAAAGATACAATTCTTTCATTGGCCTTGTAGAACGAGAGTGGTGTACACGTGCGCACATGCTTTAGTGAAAACACAAACATCCTCGATAAAGAGAGGCGAGTTGCCCCTCGAAATATTGGAACAATAAATTCATTATAAATCCAATATATGGATCTTTTTTAAAATATAATTTTAATTATGGATTGCTCAATCTTCAAAATATATACATATATATATACATATTTATTGCTAGCTATATATGACATAGAAACATATAAATACCATTAATACTGTCTTAACGACATTTATATGTTTCTATGTACTCCCCTGTAGGACAGAGATGTTTTTAAGCTCGAGATTACGTTGAATAAAGATAAAGAAACACATCTCCAGAAACCATTTGTTTGACATTAAATTCTATTGTTTACCTGCCTTTGTTGTTTATTGTTGTGGAGGACATTAAACTATATTTAACTGCCTATGTTGTTTATTGTTGTGGAGGACATTAAACTATATTTAACTGCCTTGTTTATTTATTGTTGTTAGTATCCATCTAGTTTTGGTGACAGGACCTTTGGGAGAGACCACTGCTCATCATCAAACAGACTCAAGGAATTTGTGAAATCTTTGCACAAGGGGATAAGAAACAACAACAATTCAATCTAAAAAGCCAAGCTGGAAGATGACACCACCTACAGGGTGCAGCCAAGTACAGAATAAACATCAATTATTCCAATAGATGGCGCAAACCATCAGCAACTTTCAGTGGTTCAAGATGCTCTTTTTTTACTTTATATATTGACCTGTTCCAAGTACAATCGCATGTTTGTACTTTTTTTTTTCATATAAATTGGTTTTTATTATTAAAAATTAATTAGGTTTGATTAATTAATTATTTTTTTCATATAAATTGGTAATTGTTTTGCTTATTATCTTGTTCTATGTGGCAATTATTGCAAGGTCGACATCTATACACTAATGGACAAAACTTAAGGAAGTTTTAGCATGTATATTGGGACAATAACTGAAAGATATTACAGTGACCTTTATTGAAGACACACATATATACACTCATGGACAAAACTTAAGGAAGTTTCAGCATGTATATTGGGACAATAACTCTGAAAGATATTACAGTGACCTTTATTGAAGACACACAAGATAACCAAGTGTGAACAAAATTGTCTCTGTCACTTAAAAAAATATATATATATTGTCAACAAGCGACATCAAAACTTCCTTAAGTTTTGTCCATGAGTGTAAAGGTGGCAACTTGTGATACAGTACAGTAGATTCAGTAGAAGGTACATTATAAAACACGAGATTTAAACACTTATAAGTTGTTACCATCATTGGACAAAGGTACTAAATGTGACATTTCGGTAACAGTGTTGTTACCATCATTGGACAAAAGTACTAAATGTGACATTTCAGTAACAGCGTTGTTACCATCATTGGACAAAAGTACTGAATGTGACATTTCGGTAAGAGTGTTGTTACCGTCATCAGACAAAAATACTGAATGTGACATTTCGGTAACAGCGTTGTTACTATCATCACACAAAATTACTGAATGTGACATTTCGGTAACAGATTTGTTACCATCATCGGACAAAAGTACTGAATGTGACATTTCGGTAACAGTGTTGTTACCATCATCGGACAAAAGTACTGAATGTGACATTTCAGTAACAACGCTGTTACCATCATCGGACAAAAGTACTGAATGTGACAATTCGGTAACAGTGTTGTTACCATCATCAGACAAAAGTACTGAATCTGACATTTCGGTAACAGATTTGTTACCATCATCGGACAAAAGTACTGAATGTGACATTTGGGTAACAGTGTTGTTACTATCATCAGACAAAAGTACTGAATGTAATATTTCAGTAAAAGCTTAACATCATTTGAAAAAAGTACTGAATGTGACATTTCGGTAACAGTGTTTTTACCATCATTGGACAAAAGTACTGAATGTGACATTTCGGTAACAGTGCTGTTACCATCATAGGACAAAAGTACTGAATGCGACATTTCGGTAACAGTGTTGTTTCCATCATTGGACAAAAGTGCTAAATGTGACATTTCGGTAACAGTGCTGTTACCATCATAGGACAAAAGTACTGAATGTGACATTTCGGTAACAGTGTTGTTACCATCATTGGACAAAAGTGCTAAATGTGACATTTCGGTAACAGTGTTTTTTTTTTTTTTGCTTATCCCTAGTACACGTGGTACAGGCCATGATAATCATGGTGGGTAGTTAGCGACTGCTTTTACTGTAAGCGCACCACATGTCTACACATGTGAAAAGCAGTTCGACTTTGCACTTACAAATGCCAGAGCCCCGTTTGGTTACTTGCATTCGCTGGTGGGGCTGGACTTTTGCAAGAATTGGGGGCCATTGGAGCATTTTTTTTTTTCTTTAAACAGAAAAAAGTGTCCAATGCGGGAATCGAACCCGGGTCCTAGTGGTCGAAAACCAAACGGTTTACCAGCCTTCCACCAGTGTTGTTACCATCATAGGACAAAAGTACTGAATGTGACATTTCGGTAACAGTATTGTTACCATTATAGGACAAAAGTACTGAATGTGACATTTCGGTAACAGTTTTAGGTACCATCATCGGACAAAAGTACTGAATGTGACATTTCGGTAACAGTGTTGTTACCATCATCAGACAAAATTACTGAATGTGACATTTCGGTAACAACGCTGTTGCCATCATCGGACAAAAGTACTGAATGTGACATTTAGGTAACAGCGTTGTTACTATCATCAGACAAAAGTACTGAAGGTGACATTTCAGTAAAAACTTACCATCATTTGAAAAAGGTAACTGAATGTGACTTTTCGGTAACAGTGTTGTTACCATCATTGGACAAAAGTACTGAATGTGACATTTCGGTAACAGCGTTGTTACTATCATCAGACAAAATTACTGAATGTGACATTTCGGTAACAGATTTGTTACCATCATCGGACAAAAGTACTGAATGTGACATTTCGGTAACAGTGTTGTTACCATCATCGGACAAAAGTACTGAATGTGACATTTCAGTAACAACGCTGTTACCATCATCGGACAAAAGTACTGAATGTTACATTTAGGTAACAGCGTTGTTAGTATCATCAGACAAAAGTACTGAAGGTGACATTTCAGTAAAAACTTACCATCATTTGAAAAAAGTACTGAATGTGACTTTTCGGTAACAGTGTTGTTACCATCATTGGACAAAAGTACTGAATGTGACATTTCGGTAACAGTGTTATTACCATCATTGGACAAAAGTACTGAATGTGACATTTCGGTAACAGCGTTGTTACTATCATCAGACAAAATTACTGAATGTGACATTTCGGTAACAGATTTGTTACCATCATCGGACTAAAGTACTGAATGTGACATTTCGGTAACAGTGTTGTTACCATCATCGGACAAAAGTACTGAATGTGACATTTCAGTAACAACGCTGTTACCATCATCGGACAAAAGTACTGAATGTGACATTTAGGTAACAGCGTTGTTACTATCATCAGACAAAAGTACTGAAGGTGACATTTCAGTAAAAACTTACCATCATTTGAAAAAAGTACTGAATGTGACTTTTCGGTAACAGATCTGTTACCATCATCGGACAAAAGTACTGAATGTGACATTTCGGTAACAGTGTTGTTACCATCATCGGACAAAAGTACTGAATGTGACAATTCAGGTAACAGTGTTGTTACTATCATCAGACAAAAGTACTGAATGTGACATTTCAGTAACAACGCTGTTACCATCGGACAAAAGTACTGAATGTGACAATTCGCTAACAGTGTTGTTACCATCATCAGACAAAAGTACTGAATGTGACATTTCGGTAACAGCGTTGTTACTATCATCAGACAAAATTACTGAATGTGACATTTTGGTAACAGATTTGTTACCATCATCGGACAAAAGTACTGAATGTGACATTTCGGTAACAGTGTTGTTTCCATCATCGGATAAAAATACTGAATGTGACATTTCAGTAAAAACGCTGTTACCATCATCGGACAAAAGTATTGAATGTGACAATTCGGTAACAGTGTTGTTACCATCATCAGACAAAAGTACTGAATCTGACATTTCGGTAACAGTGTTGTTACCATCATCAGACAAAATTACTGAATGTGACATTTCAGTAACAGTGTTGTTACCATCATCACACAAATCTACTTAATGTGATATTTCTGTAACTGCGGTGCTATCATCATAGGACAAAAGTACTCAATGTAACATTTCAGTAACAGTGTTGTTACCATCATCAGACAAAAGTACTAATGTGACATTTCAGTAACAGTGTTGTTACCATCATAAGACAAATCTACTTAATGTGATATTTCTGTAACTGCGGTGCTATCATCATTGGACTAAAGTACTCAATGTGACATTTCAGTAACAGTGTTGTTACCATCATCAGACAAAAGTACTGAATGTGACATTTCAGTAACAGTGTTGTTACCATCATAAGAAAAAATACTGAATGTGACATTTCAGTAACAGTGTTGTTACCATCATCAGACAAATTACTGAATGTTACATTTCAGTAACAGCGGTGTTACCATCATCAGACAAAATACTGAATGTGACATTTCAGTAACAGCGTTGTTACCATAATCAGACAAAATACTGAATGTGACATTTCAGTAACAGCGTTGTTACCATCATCAGACAAAATACTGAATGTAACATTTCAGTAACAGCGGTGTTACCATCATCAGACAAAATACTGAATGTGACATTTCAGTAACAGCGTTGTTACCATCATCAGACAAAAATACTGAATGTGACATTCAAGTAACAGTGTTGTTACCATCATCAGACAAAAGTACTGAATGTGACATTTCGGTAATAGCGTTGTTACCATCATAGGACAAAATTACTGAATGTGACATTTCGGTAACAGTGTTGTTACCATCATCGGACAAAAGTACTGAATGTGACATTTCGGTAACAGTGTTGTTACCATCAATGGACAAAAGTATCGAATGTACATTTCGGTAACAGCATTGTTACCATAAGTGTTGTTACCATCATTGGACAAAAGTACTAAATGTGACATTTTGGTAACAGCGTTGTTACCATCATTGGACAAAAGTACTAAATGTGACATTTCTGTAACAGCGTTGTTACCATCATAGGACAAAATACTGAATGTGACATTTTGGTAACAGTGTTGTTACCAACATAGGACAAAAGTACTAAATGTGACATTTCTGTAACAACCCTGTTACCGAAACGTCACACACTATTTATTTATTTGGATTTGGTCTTATTACCTTGTGTTTAACTCAAGTTAGGAAGGATAGGTTACTTTCAGTATGTGGCTATTGGGATTAGATTGGTAAATTAAGTGACCAGTTTATATAATTGTTTATATGGATATTTTTTACTTCTAAGTAAACATGTCACAGGCCATGATAATCATGGTATGTAGTTAACTTCAAGTTAGTGGTACACTAAAGAGAGTCCATGTGGCACAACCATATTTTATTCAAACAACCATACAAGTGATTAGAAATAAATCCCATTCAATCAAACATGCTGGTCTAGAACAATAGGATATTTTATAATGCCATGATGATAATTCTATATAAAAGTGGGTTATTTATAAAAATAATGGAAATAACAGAATATTTAACATAAAGAGATACCTAATTTCTATATTTTGCTACAAGGTAAACATATCTCTCTGTTCTTTGATGTAAAGAGGGTTTAATTGTGGGGATACAAATGAATTACTTCCTGACCTTTCCTTCTATGTCAGACAATATATTTATTGTTATAATGAATAAATTTAACAATTAGAAATGTTGTGTTTGTTACAATGTATGTTGGGAGAATAAGGTCAGTTGATGGTAAATTATATGTGGAGATATAAAATGACTGTTTTTAAAACTCTATTGTTGACATAGTGATCCTATTTGTGGTAACTGATGGTAATAATGGTATTTCTCTTTGTAGAAAATATATCACTGTGGTTTACACAAAGCTATAATTGCATGAATATACTTGTATTTACTAATATATTTTTCCAACTTCTCTGTGTCTATCAGGTAGCGGCAGGTTTGACCAACCAACACAGAGTTGATAATTACTCTACCAGTGTCAAAAGAATCCCTCACATACAAAATAGAATATTTATATTGGGCCAGGGTGTTGACACCTTCACCTCTCTGATGGAATGACACCTCAACTTCAGTCTTCTCTCCTCCAACTCTCCACTTGTTCCTAACATTGTACTCAGTGCCATCTATATTCTTAATTGTCTCCTTTGATCTATCTTGGGAGACGTTAGTCCAATTATAAGCATTAAATAACCTGATGTATTTCAATTTATCTCTGTGATCTCCATCTCCATACAGATATTTCGGAAGGCCATTCACCCAGTCATCATATGTATCATCAGGAGGAAGCCAGTTCTGGACACCAAGTGTAAGGTCAAGCCCCACATCTGCCATTTTCACAGGATTCTCCAACACTTGACATTTGACATCACAGCAGGTGGTGGTAGTAGTTTGGAGCTCTGTTCTCACAGTGGCCAGTTCTTCCTTAGTACCTTGTTGTTCTGTTTTTACATTTTCTAGTTCTTCCTTAGTACCTTGTTGTTCTGTTTTTACAGTTTCTAGTTCTTCCTTAGTACCTTGTTGTTCTGTTTTTACACTTTCTAGCTCTTCCTTTATACCTTGTAGTTCTGTTTTTACGCTTTCTAGTTCTTCCTTAGTACCTTGTTGTTCTGTTTTTACACTTTCTAGTTTTTCCACATTGAAGGTCTGGGAACATCCCTGGAATGGGCAGGTGTTCTCCATGTTCTGGAACATGGTCCATACAGTTGGAGAACATTTCTAAGTTAAAAGTTGAACAAGTATAAACAGAGAATTTGGTAGCAAAGAGATAAAGTATTTTATTATTTTTGTGAGAGAAAAAAGAGAGGCCAAATGTGGTGACATTACTAAAGTAGAATCTGCATGAAAGGTCAGTCTCACTAGAAGACTCCTCTCTACAAATGACAGTTTTTATTAAACAATTACCATTTATACTAATTACCAACCTTCCAATAAGAGGAGCCTTTTTCTAATGGTTACTATGGTTCTGAATGGACGAGAGAAAAAAATTCCTTTCAAACTAACAAAAATAGACAGTCTTTGGCAAATTGAGTGGCTGGAGTTCATTAAATATGGTCTGGGTTTTCGTGAATGGACCAATTTCTATAATCTTTAAAAATTTTGTGATTAATTTTCAATATACTTCCAAACTATGTGGAAGTTACAATTTTTTAAACAAAAGTAAACAACACAAATATACTAAATATCAGACTTCTATATGGCAGCTATGGTCTGGAATAGAATTAAAAGTAGTAAATAGCCACAATCATTTGTGGTGTAATGAGCCTTCCATACAAATAAATCAGTAGTAGGAACTAAATAATGGTAAGAACATTGTTAGAAATACAGTATATCCTTGTTGATTCAACACATGATAATTTGACACTTGCAT